GCGTATCCAGGTACAAGAACTGATAGCAGCAAAGGGCGCTACCTTTTCTAATCTACCTGGGTACACTCCACTAGCCACCCACCGAGTAGAAACCCCGGGACAGCTTCCCATGCGACAGACCCCATATCGGATTCCTGAATCCGTGCGGGAACATATGAGGAAGGAAATTGAAGAGATGTTGCAGTTAGGGGTTATCGAACACTCAGATAGCCCCTGGGCATCGCCGGTAGTCCTGGTTCCCAAGAAAGACGGTACCACTCGGTTCTGCGTGGACTACCGGAGGTTGAACGACAAAACCGTGTCGGACGCTTACCCGATGCCTCGGATAGACGAGCTGCTAGATAGGATGGCCAGGGGTCAGTACCTCACTACAATAGATCTTTGTAAGGGGTACTGGCAAATTCCACTAGCCGAGGACGCCATTCCCAAGTCGGCGTTTGTCACCCCGTTTGGCTTGTACCAATTTCGAGTCATGCCATTCGGGATGAAGAACGCCCCCGCGACCTTCCAGTAGATGGTGGATCGGCTACTGGACGGGTTCCAGGATTATGCGTGTGCATACCTGGATGATATTGCCATCTACAGTCAGACCTGGTCGGATCACTTACAACATATAGGGGCTGTAATAGATCGGATCCGGGAGGCAGGGCTTACCTTGAAACCCAGTAAATGCCACATAGGGATGGCAGAGGTCCAGTACTTAGGACACCGGGTTGGTAGCGGGCAACAGAAGCCTGAGCCCGCAAAGATTGACGCTGTAGCCCAGTGGCCTACCCCTAGGACCAAAACCCAAGTTCTTGCTTTCCTAGGTACCGCAGGGTATTACAGAAAATTTGTGCCCAATTACAGTGCCCTGGCCAAACCCCTGACTGATTTGACGAAGAAAAACCTGCCCAGGCAGGTCATCTGGGCCCCAGAGTGTGAACAGGCATTCAACCAACTGAAGACGGCTCTGACCAATGCCCCTGTACTGGCTGCTCCTGATCCAACTAAACGTTTTCTTGTTCACACAGACGCCTCAATGTTTGGATTTGGAGCAGTACTGAGCCAGGTCGGAGCCGATGGCGGAGAACACCCCGTAGCATACTTGAGTCGGAAATTGTTACCCCGAGAGGTGAGCTACGCCGCCATAGAAAAGGAATGCCTGGCCGTGGTGGGGGCCCTGAAAAAGTTACAGCCATATCTCTATGGGCAACCCTTTTCTTTGCTCACAGATCACAACCCGTTGGTGTGGCTAAACCGTGTGGCTGGAGACAATGCCAGGCTGTTGCGCTGGAGTTTGGCGCTGCAGCCCTTTGACTTTACGATACATTATCGCCCAGGGAAACAAAACGGTAACGCCGACGGGTTGTCCAGACAAACAGACCTTGAGAAATGATCTGTGAGCACTCCTCCGGACATCCCCAAGCCGATCCGTTGGGATCAGACTGTGTATGCCGGTTTGGTTCTGGGGGAGCATTGTGGCAAACCTAGCCACTTGGACAAGAACTAGAGACTGTGCCTTT